CGACGGACTCGGCCAAGCGTGCAGAATCACTGATGAATGAATGGGTCTGCTGGCCGCCGCTCTCCAAATCATGAGTGCAGGAGTCTCACTCCCCTTGACAGCAGCACACTTTCAAGTAAGGTTGGACGGTGTGTGTGTGATGTGTATCCACACTACTTAGATACGGTCTGCACAGAGGCTTTCCCTGCGGCTCTGTAGCGCACAATGCCAATTCAGCTGCATCAGCCGGTAGCATAGCGCAACGTACATGACCTTAATCATTTGAAATTTTCTGCTGCACTCTCTTCTCGATCACGGGAGCCCACAATCACGAATATCACGGCAAAATGTTTGCAGCGGAGGCGTTTGGGATGCACACTCAGCAGTTGAGTGATCCAGCCCGGCTTGGCTGTGCCTGCCTGCCTGCCTGCCTGCCTGCCTTGGCACGCTGCGACGGATTTGCTGTCAGTTGTTCGTGCATGCAGCAACATATGTCTGCTGGCAAAACCGCTAACGGTAATTGAATCGGTACCAAACACACTCGACTGTCGACTTCTTGCATGGCCCTTCGAGCACGCGCACCAGCAGCGTGTGTTTTGTGTTCGTCATTTGCATACTGATTTATGCTTCCCCCGCCGCACCGCGGCATCACAGAGGCGTGGAACTTTTCGACGCACAACGATCAATGTGCCTCGATCACGATACCTCGAGTGCGACTATACTGCTACTCTGTTATTGCTGCGCACCGAGCTCATGAGCAAGAGCAAGAATTGTCCGTCAGTTCACAAGCAAGGGCGCGCACAGCTCTAACTGTCTAGGCGGATGCTATAAGCTGCTGGAGCGTCCACTGCGATAGCGTCGGGCTAGGATCCCCCTCGCATCAGGTGCAAGGTACATCCATCCATCCACGCGCATCCACGCGCACCCACGCGAACCCACGCGCACCTGCCCCATTCAGCAGCAACGCGGCAGGCAGCTACGTCCAACGGCAAATACGTCCGCTGCAAACATCTTGCTCCCATCTGTCAAGCTTCGAGTCAAGAGGGAGAGTCTCGGTGGCGATGCCCCCCATTCCTGCCCTCCAGTCAATGTGAAGAGCAGAAAGATACAAAAGGGGCAGAAGAGTCTCTTTCGTCTCCAAAGGTGCACACCTCCC